CTTTTTTTTTTTTTTTTTTTTTTTTGCCTTGTTGACGACTGCATTAATCAATTGTGGTCAAACTGTCGTCTCAGAGCGAGGAAAAAAAATTAAAAGCGTTATTACTCTGCAAAATTTCAACGTTTCAAGGTAGACAAAAATTAAATACGGCATTTTGCCTGTTCTCAATTTCCTACTCAGAAATAAACGACCCATTGGCGAATTCTTCCCTTTCATCGAACGTGTTTGAGCAACTGCAGAGAATTTAAAGCTCGCTTAGTACCATAAACTGAATGGTTTAGCACCGGCATTAAGAACTCTATAATAACAACAGTTTACCATCACATTCCTTGATTAAAACCTTGAAACACCTAAAGTTTCTAACCTGAAAGTCATTTGACTGAAAAACAATATTTGCCTCTAACACCCACATTGCACCTTCCAACTCGCAGCCCACCTTATTGCACCCACCCGTTCCGGAAAACATCCTGTGGTTTGCTACACTTCTTTAACTAAAAGAAAACTCACACCGCTTCAATACTTACTGGAAACCTTTTAAACACAGTTCAAAACATCCATGCGCCATCTACAAAATTCCTATTTCATCCACAACTTCAGCCTCCTGCCGCACCCTCGGTCCCACCGCCTAGCAATCTTCTCAAAAAATCCGCACACAGTAGTCCTCCATGAAATTGCCCTTAACACTCAATTTGCCCAGTAAATTTGACCATTTTGCTGTCACTTATACTACGGCCTTTATATGAGCTGAATTTTGTAAGACTTTAACCAGAAAAGTGAATAGAAGCTTTATCTTTTCCAATTGTTAAACACTTCATCACACAAATAATACTATACTCACCAAGCTTGCTTCTAACTCAACCTTCGCAAAAACGCTAAAAAAAAACACCGATCAATCACATTAGAGTCTGATAAAGACAGATTATTTACATATGATGCACATGAAGAACTTCAATAAAACATTTAAAAAAGCAAAAACTAGAAAAATTAGAAAAATGTCCATTAAAATAAACTTATTAAACAGAAAAAATGGAATCTTAGCAATTAAATATGTTATATACATTCAAAATACAAACTTTAAAATTAAACCATAAAACGAGTATCCTCGTATTACTTAAATATTATTAAATAGAAAAAAAACATTACTGTAATCACTGAACAAGTATTACAGAACTCTCAGTTCCATTAGTACGTGTTCACAATAAAATACAAAGAAAAAACCACTTTTTACATCAAGAAAAATCCACAGCTAACTTGTCTTTCTTTAATTCACACAGTTAATAGGTTGAGTTGTACTATTGTCCAAAATCGACAAAAAAAATGATGGAAAAAATATTGACAATCAAGAGGACAACAATGGCCATGAAGTATACAAAATTTAAAGCTGTACACAGTACTTCAAATACTTTTCAGATAAAAAAGCTAAAAATATTAGAGAAGCATCAATCATGTAAAGCCACTTTAGCAGTCAAATAAATCCTAGAAAATCCTTGAAAAATTGATCAAATTCCGTAATCTTCAGTAAAGAAACAGGTGACTAATAGAACACAAGGTTCCGACTGTGAAGTTAAACCAGGTATTTTACCGCTCAAATTGCTTCACAACATAAAACATCCAAAATCCGTTCTCCTATGCGTAATGATGAAGAATTTGATCCAATTCCCAATGTAACTTTAGGACCAGAAATGTCAGGAAATCCGCACTTTCCTTTCAAACCGCAAAGTACATTTAGGTGACTATACAACAATGAGTGGCTGATGAAAGAGATCACAAACACCTTATTCTTCCTTTACGTCAGCCGATACATCCTCATTTACCTGTGGTGTTGGACTAGGAGACCTGAAGAAGCCCAACACTTCGAAATTGGAAAAAAATATAATAAAAAAATGACGACAGCAGAGCTCAATTACACAAATGAATAAACCTCGAGAAGTTCGGAGCAACATTTTCATTCCTCGCTAACGGACTAACGGGCATTGGAACAGAACTCGTATATTTTCTGGCAGTCAACTGATGAGCCATCCCAGCAACCTTGTGTTTCAAACCCTGGAAGTCACATGAAGAAAATAATGTTAAGCAAAAGAAGGCAAAAAATAATGCGAGTATCAAGGGTTGTTGGCGATAAGAGAACCTGCAAAGTCGACGGCCTTATAACTTGGGGGACAGCAAGCGGAGATTTTCCAGCAGTGCACACTTCCTCTTGAGCGACACCAACATCTGACATTCTCTTTGAACGTGAAGTGACGGTAGTCACTATTGCGGTAGCAGAAGTAGATGGGGTGGTACTTGTAACGGAAGTGCTAAAAAAATTTCTTTTAATTCCGCTTGAGGTTGCTGTTGCGATACAAAAAAAAAAAAAGTCCCCTGAGGTGGCATTACTTGTGGTGTTCTTCTATCCCCCCGCAAAATCTTTGGAAAAATAACCCGTTGGTAAATTAAAAACTCAGTTTAAGAATCATTTTACTGTTACATCTGCGTCATTCACTAAGAGCAGGAAAATCAAATGCAGGAAACAACTTCAAACTGAAAAATGAAATAATGAAGCTACAAACACATGACTAATGTCCCTTAAAAACTATCAATACGCGTTCAACCACACTCCATTTAAGCTAATTCATCACCTTTTATCAAAGGATTCTTGAAATTAAATAACATTCCCCACAAGCAACTGTAACTACGAGCAGTCCCAAACAGTGGCAGAAATCATACCACTGTTGAATGATAAAACAAAAGAGATAACTTAGGTCAGACACACACCTCAGTTGTATCCCATCCTGACTAGACACCGAACGAGGTATAAATGTCTGTTTTTGCAAAGAACTTCCGGGCACGATATCATTATTTCCACGCTTCCCACTCAAGTGGCGCAACAGGGAAGAAGGTTTGCGAGGTTTCTTTTCCATTGGAACTCGCCTCTGTGGCCGCTTAGGCTTCTTTTTTGCCAACTTACCAACCGAACGACGCGGCGCTCCTTCCCTAATTGTCGTAGATGACATTGGAATCACCTAGAAAAGTCAGTACGACAAGTGTTGAAACGAAATAATTTATGGCTCCTAGATAGACTTAGCTAGAATTTCAGATCAGTGGAAGCGACAATCACCATAACGTGTCTTATTTGTATGCACTAATACGCCACTTCCAACTTCATTTTCACCCAAACAACACTCGGCTTAGACCTCCAACCTCCCCTCTGCTTTCTAAACAGTTAATACACATACACAGATCAGCATGATAAAGCAAATCGTTCCGAAAAAAATTATTGTGAAACAAAATCAAATTTGAATCAATTTTTTACGTTACATAATGGAAAAACCAACTACAAAACCTGCCTTAACAGCAACGAAAAAACAAGCAAGACAAAGAATGCATGTTTTAAACCTTGAGTGTCAGTTCACTGCCGTAAGACAATATCCTGTGCATCAACTGAGGGTGAGTCAAATTTGAAACAGGTTGCGAATTTACATGAGTGATAAGATCATCTGCACGAAGACCTGCTTCGTAAGCTGGAGATGCTTCATCTACTTCAATGACAAGGTGTTCAATAGTGTAGTAATCAGAATGTTCACTTAAGTATACCCGTACGGATCGAATAGTGAAACCAAATCCCTTAGGACCTTTTCTGTAAATCCGTAATAACTTTAAAAGAATCTGATATTAAAGATTTATCGGTTGCCTTTCGCAAAAATGTTTATGTTCGTAGAGTAGTCTTAGTAGAAAAAGCTCTACAAAACCGATCCCCTTCCGTAGCCCGCAAATTTATTTTCTCATATAAGTCACAAATAACCATCTTTCAGAAAAAGAATGAGTGTATTTGCTGCCAAAACGTCTCGTCTCACCTAATAACAATAAGTGGTTTTTGGCAACTATGAGAGATGGAAGAATCTGGCCCAGAAGTCGAAGATGATGCTGGAGCTATAGGTGATGAACAATCGACAGAAGAAACGCTGGAAACAGATCCAGCACCCGGAGAATGTTGCGACACACCATTACCAGTGCCAGGAATAACGAGTTGCAAGCTACCACCTGCACCGATCCTTGCAATACCACCACCACGCAAAACTACTTCCGCACAGTCAGATCGCGAAGTATCAGGAACATCCTAAAATAAGTTTTCTTTCCAAAACAAGCGAATCCATTAACTAACAACCTTCTCCCAAAAAGATATATTCAAGACTAGAAATTTAAGAAAGATTATTACCTTCTCAGAGGGTGGTCGAGCCTCATCGACCGGCGAAAGTTCTTTTCTTTCTCCAGTAGCTGAGTGAGAATCGTCAGGCTCACACGATATAGCAAACCTAGATCAAAATAAAATACCAAACGATAAAGTTTTCTTACTAGACCTTAAACAAATTTTCATTGGAAGATTTGAGATAACTAATAAATCATAACCCGTAAGAGTTTACT